GGCTCCCAAGCAGCAGGTTTCCCCCGGTCGCAAAGCACCAGCAAGTGAGTAAAGAATCAGTGTGATCCGCTGCTGTGATTATTGTGTGCATGTAATGTCTTTGGATTGTATTCATGCATAGAGAGGAGAGGCACAGCGAAGCCCCCGCCGTCCGCTCCTCTTCCACTGGAGAAACTGGACCCTCAGACAGCCGTGATGAGTCAGCTGGTGAGCCAATGGAGGAATCTCTGGCTCCTGGCCCACGGCAGACAGAGCAGACTAGAGGAGCATCTGCAGAGGCTGAAAGAGGTGATCATGACCGCGCTCTAGCTTTGAGAAAAGAATACGTTTGTGTTTGAATCCATGTGGTTGTCTAAGAACCGTCTCTTTGGCACATGCAGCTGGAGGAGTTTGCTAATTTTGACTTCAACATCTGGCGGAAAAGATACATGCAGTGGATAAGTCACCTCAAATCCCGGATACTGGATGTTTTTCGTAGCATTGATCGTGATCAGGATGGACGAATCACTCACAAGGAGTTCATCAGCAGCGTTCTGGCCTCTAGTGAGCATTAAAACTCTTGGTTGCTGAATTGTTTGGGTGGATACTCATATACAAAATAATATATGTACATGTAAGGAAATATATTGTCATATGAAGTAAAAACATTTATGAAAATACAATTTCATGTATATATATATATATATATGTATATATATATATACATACATATAAAAGGCTCATAGAAATATGTATGTTTATGTACTGTACATGTAATACTTTTTCAGATTTTTTATATCCATCCTAAAACCAGTCAAGTAAATATGAAAAAATACGCACTTATTTACAAAAAAAATTTGCAAAAACATATATAAACAAACACATTTTTTGTGCATATATATATTGCTGACATATATGGTTGCTACATGTAATACTATATAAACATCATCATACAGAGATCATTAATATATGTGGGTCAAAGACGAAAAAGGGTTTAAGCATAAAAACAATAAGTGTAATACTGCTTTAAATTGTTGTTGTTTTTCTGTTTAATTTAACTGCAATTGTTTTTTTTTCCGAGCAAAAAATCAATATCATACATTTTCCCCTGATTTACAGAAGAGAGCCACTAAAATGTCATTCAGTGTAACAATTTTGTCAGGCATATTTACAACAAAAATCAATTTATGGACATATTAAAAAAATCTAATTTCACCCCAAATACTAATTAGTTGTAATTTTACATTTTTTAAATGTGCCACTATCCTAGGTTTTGTCCACTTGTCAGTAAGAATGTTTAACTCATTTAAAACACAGTCAAATTTAATATGCTCCCTTATTCTTTTATATATTTTAATATGTACACGTCAGAATAAGCATGTTGTTTGAATTTTTACATAAATATTGTGTTACACTGAATGACGATGTAACATTATTTTTACATTTTATTTTCCAAAAATGTATTTGAAACCTTAAAAGTAGACACTTTACTTACATTTAATGTGCTTTCTATGGACATATAATCACTTTTGTAAATTTCTTTTGATGCGGACGTCTTAACGTCTTTGACCCATGTACATAAACTAATTTTACTATGGAGATTTTATATATGTTATAAGCATTTCTTCATCCACCCAGAGAACATATGTGAAAATTATATAGCGCCTTGTCGGAACATATATGGTAATATCACTCTTAATACATGGGTAACAATAGTATGGGTATATATGTAACTGTTTGCAATATTTGACTTTGCAAATGTACAGAATTTCCCACCAACTCCCTGGAAATGACTGCGGTTGCTAACATATTTGATGTTAACGCCGATGGATTCATTGAC